ACTCAGCCGCTCCGGGGCGGGAGTCCGGGGGGCGCGGCTGCCGTGGGAGGCCGGCGCGCGGTGACCAAGACTTCCGTCCGCTTCCGGGGCGGGGAGAAGCCGCGGCGTCCAACGGGCTTCTGCATCCGAGTGACAGCTCGGGACCCCGGGGAGGGTGGGGGCGTGGCCGGGGGCAGAGTGACAGCCTCGGATCCACCAATGAGGGGATGGGGGCGTGGCCGGGGGCAGAGTGACAGCCTCGGACTCACCAATGAGGGGATGGGGGCGTGGCCAGGGCAGAGCGACAGCCCCGGACCCACCAATGAGGGGATGGGGGCGTGGCCGGGGCAGAGTGACAGCCTCGGATCCGCGGGGAGGGAGGGGGCGTGGCTAGAGGGCAGAGTGACAGCCTCGGATCCACCAATGAGGGGATGGGGGCGTGGCCGGGGGCAGAGTGACAGCCCCGGACCCGGGGAGGGCGGGGGCGTGGCTCCCGGTTAGGGGGTGAAAGAAGACCTGGGTTCCATGTGTAAGAAGACAGGAAAGGGGGGCTGGAGAGATGGCTCAGCGGTTAAGAGCACTGACTGCTCTTCCAGAGGTCCTGAGTTCAATTCCCAGCAACCACATGGTGGCTCACAATCATCTGTGATGAGATCTGGTGCCCTCTTCTGGCCTGCAGTCATACATGCTGTATACATAATAAATAAATAAATCTTTTTAAAAAAAAAAAGACAGGGAAGGGGAACGGAATGGCTGTCATCGCCCCAGCAGGGTTCGCAGTGACCGGAAAGGCACGCATGTGTGCAGAGAAATAAATGTGCTCCAGGCACACAGCGGAATATTACTCAGCGCTGAAAAGGGAAGAGGCACTGACATAGGTTGGCAAACCTCAGAGACACTACCGGTGATTGACAGCAGCTGGGGAGCGACCCCATCGGTCGGAAGTGTCCGGGGCTCCCCGACGGACGAGGTCCGGCCGTCACGGCCCGCGCTGGGAAATGGCCGCTCGGAGACTCCGGCATCCGGTGAGGACGTCCCGGACCTGCACGAGTGCCGCGTGCACAGCGAGCGACCGCACCGAGGGCTTTAAACAAGCGTGGGTGGTGAGAGCGCGGGACGCAGAATCGAACGGCTTCCCCTGCCCGACCGCGGCGCGGGTGTCTGCGGGGAAAGGGAGGCCGCGCTCCACAGGCTCCGCCCTGACCACGCCCCCAGCCCCTCATTGGGGATTCTAGGCGGGGCTCCACCCTGACCACGCCCCCAGCCCCTCACTGGGGATTCTAGGC